AATCCCAGAATCAATATGGGGTGGTTCTTAATCAGGATTAAAGAATATAGCAAATTTGACCAAGATTAAAAAATATAGCAAATTCCTCATCTTTTATATTATTTTCAATTTAAAGCAACTGAGATTTGAGTCAGAAGAGCCAGAAAGGCCAGAAATTACTTTTCATATATTGCACTCCTTAATAGTAAAAAAAAAAAAAACCATGAAAGTGATATGTTAAATTACTGGCCAGCATTACCTAGAACTGTCTGGATCCCACCAGTCTGCATTATGTCCAGGAAGCCTGGAGGAAGTTTCTTCTTCATCTTTATTAGGGGAGATTTAGCTTGAATGAGGCTATCTCTGATAAATGAATTTTCAACCAGCTCCCTAAAATTACAGCAGAGGAGGAGAAACACAGTTTTCCTGAATCCAGCTTGGCTGACGCAATGTAGTTGACAGGAGGCAACAGCTAGGTTTATTCAAAAATTAAGGCACAATTTGCTTCATCATCATTTACTATATCACTACAGTTGACTGGGTAACCCAACACACTGAGCCATAAACCATGATTTGGAAACCAAAATGGCTAGGTTCAGACAATACCCCCTAGAGAAAAATCAGCACAAGTATGTTGTGTGATCCTGAGAGCTGCTCTTGAATAAGACTGCAAGGAAGTTCAGAAAACACACACACTGCTGTGATGCCCACTTAACTGCAGCAGCCACAAAAAGGTGGTCTGTTTCTATCGCAATGTGTATCACTGGGGAAGGTGTGAACTCCAAAAGTGTGTTAAAAATCCTGAAAGTAATAATCCTAATGGGAGAACGCATCTGGACTCACACTGAGGTTGGCCTCAGAGACGGATCAATTTTCAACATCAGAAACAGAAGAGAAGACAAGGCGGGATCCAGTTGTTTCATGGTGCTCACAGCCTCCTCGAGAACACAGGCCTCCTTCTTAATGTTGTGCAATAACAACAGAGGCTCTTTCACCTACAAAGGCAGATGGACACACACACTCACAGGTTCTTAGAGGACACATAAGATCTGTATTCAAGTTACTTGCAGATTCATAGTATCTAGCAATCTTGATCAATCAAGGCATTTATAGAAAGATTTTAAATCATCTGATCAGGAAGAACAAATGTCTGGGACAATGATTGTAGCAGAACTGATTATAACTGAAGACCCAATGAAGAAGCCAGGGACTGTGCAAAATCTATAACCTGGCCAACCTTTCTGCACTAACTCCTTGCTTCTCCTTTTCATCACAGATGTTCTGATCAAGGTAGGAGTGAAAGGGCTATCCTTCTACAAACTTTGCACCTTCCTGTGAATTCTTGGTTTGCCCTTTAAAACCTTCTGGGGTCTGAGCTCATTATTGTCATAATCAAAAGTCCTCCAGGCATAATGATGAACCGTCCTGGCTCTCTGGGTTTTGTGGCTGGCAGTGTTTTTGCCATACAGAAAAGTGTGAGATAAAGCTGTGTGAATTGCACAGAGACTAGACTTCATTGGAATATGGGGTTGCCAGCCTCTTACAAGGATATTATAAAATAACCAATAATCAATTAAGGCTTAGAGTCTCTCCTGTTGATGTCCCTCTTAGAAATGTCTTTTTTTTTTTAAGGTCTGCATCAGTTCTAGCAGAGTTTTTCTGGAACCCTAAGCTGATTGTTTCACGGTTGGAATAACCCACTTCAAGGTTTGGAGGGTCTGTGACATTATACACCACTACTGTGTAAGTCTGATTTTCTCTCCATATCTAAAGGAGATATGTTCTTTCCAGATATACGGTTCAAATAAAAAAAGCAGCTGTGTCGGGAAAAAAAAATGGGGCTTCTCATATTTGAGACTAGCACTGCAGATACTAAGATAGTAAAATCCTGATTTAACATACTTAGCCGACTTCAGATTTTGCCCCCATTTAACAAAGTAATGTCTGCTAAATTGAAGGTTTGTCCATTAAATCAAGATTTCATAGGAAATGATGCCAAATAGCATAAGTTGACATAAATATGGTTTTAATGAACATTTGGAGTTAACAGACAACCCCTTCCCACCAACGTTTGCTTAAATTATAGTATTACGATTTCTAATTCTACCCAATAACTCAAATACGGTCATAAGTTCACTCAGCTTCACTTGTTATGGTGATAGATCTCCAAACAAATTAGAAGGAATTCAAGCCCCTTGAACAAGAATGGTCCAATCCAGCCAATGTTAAACACTTTAAAGTTTCATTTGTTTCAGTGCTTCAGCCTCTCCCATTGCGGTCAATAGTTTTCAAAAAAAGGTTCTCGCTGAATAATCCTACCTGAGATCTGTCCTCAAACAGTCCTTAGCCTTTCTCAGACCTGAAATGAGCATCTGTTGAATTTTTCATTTAAAACTCACGGTGCCCTGAATCTTGTGTTATTGCAATTGTCCTTAGAATCATCTCACAAGACCTAAATGTACAAACCTTTATAGTACGGTAACAGGAATAACATGACATACCTTCACATAAGAACAGGTTATCATGTCAAGCAGAATAGAGCCCAATGACCAAATGTCCGATTTGTCACTAAAGGAAAAATTGAGCGCCTCTGGAGCCATCCAGCATTTAGAGTCAGGCTCTGCAGGAAGGCAAACCCACCAGTACAATTTTTAAATTGACACCCAGAAAGCACATTTTAGTTACTAAATGATTTTACAGTCATGTCAGAAGTTAGCAAGAGCTCAGTACAAAGAGACCTAAGGATTCCATAACAGTATTTTTTGTGTAATTATTACATATGCTTGGTTGGAATTGTAATACTCCCCGGGTCAACATAGCTTTATATCACTCAGAAATATCACCACCCTGTGTGTTAGCATTTAGGAATTTCATTTTACTGTCTGTGGAGTTTTTTTCCCCCAAAATGCCTGAAAATCAGAATAGTACTATTCCCACCAGACTGAGGGAGCTTTGTTTCTGAGACTGAACAGCTGAACAAACCTGGTTGCTAGTTCACCCATTTTCGGGTTTGTACAATTTATTGAATAAAAAACTTATCATATGAACAACACGCTAAGCCACCAACACCCTTCTCCTCAAAACTTTAACTAAGCTTAGAAGGATATAGAAAACCAGCCGTTAAGCTTTTAAGCAGCTTGATTAAGTGTGTCGCTGAGAACTGACATAGTAATTCTGAATTTCCTGTCAACTTCCTTCAGCCTATTTTTGCACAAAGGACTGCCATGCAGGGAACGTGAAGATGGTCAGAAAATCTCCTATTAGCTTGAGACTCTGTAAATGAATTCCATGTATATTTTAGATAAACTCTCCTGGTTAAATGAGGGATGTGCCAACACAGGTAGAAACACTTGGTTATTCCGTCACTCCCACTTCCCTTGAAATAAAACAGGGGTTGTACGATCTGCATTTCCCCTCTTTAGTTTATATTTTGAAAGCACCCCCAGCTAAAGGTCTTCTTTGAGAGCTACAGAAACTGCCAGGAGCAAAAAGGCAAGATACCTTCTTCTACTCTTATCTTCCATTTCATCTCATCTGTCATGAGGGTTTCCGAGCTGAAATCGCAAACCATGAAAGACGCCTCCCCAGTTGAAAGGATGTTAGATGGTTTGAGATTTCTGAAACAGAGCAGAACAGCGTCACCCACTTTAAAATGGAGCTGCAGCTGGGTAAAGATGCAGAACCTTTCACTTAATGCTTGCACTGCTAAGATCCACATAGTAACAGCAGGAGAAACCCCAATCAGAGAATCAGCCTGCTGGCATCCTCGAATTCCTATCCAGATTGGGTTGGGCCAAATATTTGGGTCTCTTTATGCACCATTTCACCCCTTAAAACTCCAGAGCATCCTTTCCAAATGGGCCATGCCCCATCTGCTTTTAGAGCAGAGGATCAACACCCCAAACCACCCTCAAGCTGATGGGAGTTGCGTCTCCTCTGCTAAAAGAAAAAAAATCAAATCCTTCTCACCGGTGAAAAATATTTTGCCGATGGATGTAAACTAATACATCTACCATCTGTCCTAAGAACATCCGAAACACCTGAGGAGAGAAATATATAGAATGGTGTTTAGGGAGAAAACGACAGTCATCCAGTTCTTGGCCCTCGATTAAGAGGATGGGAGACAAAATTGTACTATGTAAGTTGGCAAATACATATTTTATCCCACCCTGAAATTTCTCGTGGGCTTGATCCTTCTTCAGCCAAGTGATGCCAACAAAGGCTGGACAGATTTGCAGTTGTGACCGCAAATCATCAGCATCTGGAATTTGGAGGGCACAGTTCTGGGTGCTCACCAAGATGGCTGCTAGGGGAAGAGCTTAGCTGCCACGCCGGGCAAGGCAAGTCACAAAACACCACTTACCACAAGGCAACCAGGTAAGATTACCATTATTTTAAAATGAAAATGATGCTAGGAGTTGGCATTCTGCATTTAATGGATGCTTATAATTAAAGGAATCTAACTGAAAACCAAGTGGAGCAAGGAGCTCAGTGGGTGCCAGGAACAGGATCCTCAGGCCTGCTTCTAATTTAAAAGAATTTATTTTCCCTTCTCTGCATTTGAACCACCTTTTCCCTTTTATTTGCTTTTCAAGTTTAATTTGAGATTGGAATTACTTAGGTTCATGCAATATTGCAACCCTCCCCCACCCCCATGAATCCAGGTTAACAGAACACATTGGCTGTGTTCACTAAGTGTGCTTTGCCCAAACAAATCAACCACGTCGTGGCTTAATATGATAGTCTAGTTCACCCAACATGCAAAGAAGTGGATTCGTTTCCTACAAACTACCCAGCCCTATTTTAAGCTCATCAAGCATGTTGTACAAATTCAAGCCATTGTATTTTGGCTATGGGGAAACATTGGTGCAGATTTGTAATGATAACAACGTTTAAAGTAGTCCTGATTTTACCTTGTTCTGAAATTTCTCGTGTTTTTGCCTCTTGGCCTTGATAAGAGATGAAAGGTCCCCGTGACTGGAATAGTGCATCACCAGACAAAGAAAGAGGGAGGAAATCTGAAAGGGAGTAAAGATGGAACAACTTTCGCACTTGTGTCAGGGGCTGTTCTGCAGGTCTTCCCTCACACCCCACCCCACCCCACCCCACCCCAACTAAAAAAGTTCTGAGTTTCTCCCAACCCAACTAAGAGCATAAGGTTGCCACCACTGAGCATGAAATCATTCATGTCTGAACTGAAATTGTAATGGAACCCTAGGCTAGTTGGAAAAGTTCCTTTGTGTGGGCCAGAATATGTTTCCTCTGTCTGGTATAAGCTGTAAACCCAAGGAGCTTTGTGTTTAGTTTTTAATATGGCATAGAAATAAAGCGTTGATCCCCGTGATCACAGCTGGTGGCAGCATCTGAGTCGATTTGGGCTGATCTACCAAAAAGCCAAACTGGTTCCAAACTCAATCTGAAGGAGTCTTGACTTTACTACCAACTGAAGGGGCACAATTCAAGAGTGAGCAGGTGGAAACTGTATTTTTAGTAAATTATATACATGTCTGTTCTGTCATTTATTTGTGTTTTTGAGTCAGTCTTGATTCCTGGCCACTACCTGGATGGGTCCCTGCAGTTTTCTGACAACATTTTTGGAAGTGTTTTGCCCCTGCCTTCTTCTTCCTAGGGTTGAGAGAGAGGGACTGGCCTAAGGTCACCCAGCTGGCTTTGTGCCTAAGGCAGAACTAGAACTCATGAGCTCTCGGTTTCTAACCTGGTGCCTTTAACCACTACCCCAAACTGGGTCTCTCTCCATAGATGTCTCTTAACCCAAGTTGCCATAAATTTTTTATCCTCCCTTTCCACCCTCAAGCGTATTCAAATCATCCAGTACTTATACAGTGAATTCTGCTGATGTGCAAGTCCCCAGTTATTCACCAGCCCCATTAAATTCTATGGTCACCAGCCCCATTATATTCTATGGAACGTAAGGGTGCCTGCAACTTCAGTGATACCATTTCTCACCTTATTGTCCCAGATAATGAAGAACTCTTTATAGGCACATATATTCCTATGCTTTATTTTCAACAGATCCATCGCCTGTAGGGAAAATGGCCCATCAGGGAAAAAAAAAGGTTATTTTTCTAAGTATGCTTAAGAATGGAATTACAGTGCTAAATTTGAAGCTGTGCCTGGATTGCTTCTACATTTTTATGTGGAGCCTAAAATGTTTAGATGCTTTGTAAACAGTAAAACCTATAATGTCATATACTAGCTGGCTTGTCTGAACAGGAGAAGCCAAATGGGAGTGAACAAAAGATACACCCCAGCTTGTTGGCTAATCATTCTGTGTGGCAGTGGATGGAGTGCAAAATCAAGTGTCATGACACACTCAACACACACAACACACATTAGTCCAAGAAACTAATTTAATGTGTTAAATTAACCACACGAATTTAACTAGGTTCCTAAATTAATCCAGGTTTTGAATTTGCACAATAAATTAACCCAACTAAGTGGGCTCACATAATATGCCAAGCCATAAGAAATACAAAGTGTGATTAACACTAAGTTTAATGTGTGGTGGGAATGTTGTTGCTAGGCCTTTAGCTGGCTTGGTTAAGGAGCTTTGTGCGAACCAAGCCATAGAATCAAAGTTGAAAAGGTCCACTTAAGCCATCACGCTCATTCCTCTGCCTAAGACAGGAATGAAGGCCACAGATAAACACAGACACAGTTATCATGGCATGAATTTTCATAACCACAACAGTATAGGCTCCTACACTATTCCACTGAATGTGGTTTAAATCAGGATAATTAAGACACATTACCTCTCTGAGAGCATCATTTGCTTGCTTTTCATCAATGCATTCAACCTGTACAAGACAACCAAAGCCAAAATGTTTGAACATGTTTATTATTTGACTAACAATTCTTATTTGTAAGGATTCAATCTTGTGTTCCCTTACAGTGGCTAGGGTTCATCCATCACACTAAGCTCTACCATGGTCTGTTCAGTTAGCATGATGGATGATTGGCAACATTTGTAAACCACGTTTATGGCTTAGCACAACCTTCCCTAACCTAGGCAGTCTCCAGATGTACGGACTTCAACATGGCTGTCCTGAGATATTGCTTGGACTGGGGAAGTATCTCCTCTTATCTAAACGCTAGACAATTTTACAACCAGATTTTTTTCTGACAATCCAGTCACTTTCTGGATGCTGATAGAAACTCCTTGGCTGACCTTGAGTGAGTCCAAGAAACAAAGGAAGGTCTGACCTGGTCAATAGGTAGATGGGAAGCTCCCAGGAATTCTTAGGGCTATAGGCTACCCAGGAAGTCAACAAGGCATCCTGGGGAAAGACAGTGGTGATCATCTTCCATAATTGTTGTGGCCCAGAAAACTACGCTGATGTATCCATGTTGCCACCTGGCATGAACTTTACTAACATAAGTAAGCCAGAAGCTTAGAGCATGTGCCGTGTTTCAGATTCTAGCCATTTTGCTACCAGGTCCCAGTTTGTAAGTACCTTCACAGCAAGAGATGGACTTGGAAGCTGCTGAGATATTTGCCAGGATCAGCTCCCCTTAATATAACCAGTGCTAAAACGACACCACCTTTTAGGAGCTCATTGCTAGCGTTCTCCCAAGTTTCCTGCTCTGCTGTTTTTTCAAGAAAAGGACATGTCCCTTGTGCTCGGCTGAGCCTTTTGTTCCCCCCTGACCAAGCATTGTCAGTGTTCATTTCTGTGAGCGGGTGGCTTTGTTCTATTTTTATGGTAAACAAGCAGAAAGAGTTTGCTGAAAATTAAGCAGAATGTCAAAGGCTGAACATCAACTTCACGCGGCCCTGTAAAGAGGCTCCAAGGCGAAACCCATCGATCAAATCCCGGCTGTGGCTGGGCCGATGAAGAATCATAAACCTTATTTTATTTGAAAAAGGCTCCGATTGGATTGTGCCTCCTGCGCTTTTTTTCGACCTGCAGGTTGGCCTCTTAGATAATTCACAGGGAGGTATTTGGGAACTACATCTTGTTGCCATAGTGACTTCCATTTCCTTTCTCCCCTCTCACCTTTTTCAACATGTACTTCTTTTTCGCCATATCTGTTTCTTCTGCCATGGATTCCACCAGCAGCATCGTTCCGAGAGCCCCCGGGGACAGCTCCTTCACAATCTGCCCCAGAAGCAAACAGACAACCCCTGTACCGTATAATGGCCAAGCCCACCCCAATATATCCACGCATAAATCCGCAACACGTACATATACTGTATTCCACCTACGGATCAGCCTCGGTTTGCAGAATACGGAAAACAGAAACAAGAAGCTATCAGGGTGTTTATAACTGAGCTGCCAGCAAAACTAACATGCAAAAGATTTTAAAGCCAATACAGCCGTTCTTGAAAAACAGCCAACATATTAAATGGACGAGTACAACTGAAAAGGTTCATCGACTGTTCCTCAGAGTAACTTCTCTCTCTCCTTTCAACAAATACTCTGTTTTCCCAAAATAGCCCTTGCCCAATGCATCTGAGGTGTCTTTTCACACAATTCTTCCTGCATTAAATGTCTCCCCACTTTTTCTATCCCACAGTATTGATATTTATGAAATGTATACCCCCAGGCCCCCAGGCCTTTTAATATGGTAAACTACAATAATAAGAAAGAAAAAATAGAAAACAATATATCAGGATAAAACTAGCATGTCTGTTCTGATCTAGCTTTCAAGGGAACTTTTGGTCTTCACACATACCCAAAGGTTGGGTTCCCAAAAGGCACATTAAGTCATAGTTCAGTTAACCAAGGTTTATTCAGTAAACCAGAACGGGCTGAGTTAACGCAGTAAACCACTGTTAACCTAGTGCAACACAAGAGCTCAGACACACACACACACACTGTACCACAGAGATGTGTACAGAGGCCATCATTGTGACTGGGGGCACATATTGCACTAAACCATGGTTTCTTTAACTATGGTTTATTGGATAAGCAGGAACACAACAAGCTAAGCCAAAACAAAACAACCTCCCCACATTATGGCATCCTGGGTTATGTGACTCTATGTGTAGCCTAAGTGTCTGTTTACATTTTAAAATTTATATGCCATTGTGTGACCCCAAACAGCTAACAAACGTCCCAGCAACCATTAAAACTCAGCAACACAAACTCTGCAGGAAAACCAGTCTAAATTACCGAGAGCGATAAACACAACCAGATATATGTTATATTCACACACCAGAGGCTCATACACGTGTGCAGTTGCACTGATGGTTTTGCACAACCTGCTAACCCTGGCTTAACCCCTATGTTCCCAAAATACGAGATTCCTAGACAAATAAATAAACGAATGATAGCCTGGCTTCCTCTGACGATGCGGTTCGCCCAGCAGGCTCGCCGACCCACCGACCGCCCAGCTGCGTTGTAGCCTCCGCAGCTGGTCGTGTGAACCTGGGCGGAGGATGCTCGCCCTCCGCATCCTTCCGTGTGCCTGTCCGGGCACGACCCCCCCCTTCAGAAGCGAGTCTTTTCTCTTCCCTGAAAAAGGGGGGCTCAAAGCCTGACACACCCCCCCCCCGCGACGCTCGCGC